GAGGCTTGAGGGATGGGGGGCTCCTCCCGCGCCCCCCCCCCAGGCCAACCTACTCTTCTCTCTCCCCCTCCCGCCAACTTCCGCGTCACTCAGGTGACATCCTGGCTAGGGCGCCGGGAGCTTTTCTGCCCGGCGCGCCCCTCGAACGCCCGCTTAGTGCGTGTCCCTGGCTCTTGGCATCCGCGGTCCTCCCCACCGGCAGCCGCCCCCCCCCATATACGCTGTGCCTCGCGCCAGCCCAGGCCGGAGGAGGAGCGAGAGGCCAGGCAGGGAGGAAGGGAGGCAGGCCGGCCAGCCAGGGATCCTGCGGCCCCGCCTCCTTTTTGCCTTGGCAAGCCGCCCGCCTCCTGCTCTGCAGCCGCAGTTTCATACAAACCGCGCGGAGGCACTCCGTCAGTCAGTCGCTTGCCGAGGCAGGGGCGGCGCGGCTTTTCTCGCCCTGACGAGGGAAGACCAACCGCCTCCCGGCTTGGGGAAAAGAAGGCGGCGGCGGCGGCTGAAGGACACGCGCAGGGCGAAGGGGAGCCCCCCGCTGCAGTTGTGCGGGGACGGACCAGGCGCCGGTTCCCTTTCTCCTGGCGCTTCCATGCCTTGAGCTGCACCAGGGTGCCTGGAGTTAGGACGTGACCGCCCCCCGAGGAGACGCCGGCTGTAAGTTGAAGCCTCCCCCCCCCTCCCGCCCCTGACTTGTTGCATCGTGAATTTTATCTTTGCTCAAGGGCTTTTTAGGCGAGCTGGATGGGCGTGTGAAACTGGATCGCTGGACAGAGAGGAGCGTAAAGGCATACAGTACTTTCCTAGGCATCGAAGCCCCGTGACATGCGGTGGGATGTCTTCCCAGGCATGGGAGTCCCTGATTCTGTTGCACTCGCCCCCCCAAGCCTCTCGATTTTCAGCGATGGAGCCGAGCCTCGTGACGGGTGCAGGGATGCTTGCTGAGCATGTGTAGAGTGCAACCCCCGAATGTTCCCTGGTGTCACCATGTAGGACGTGGAAGGGGGAACGGCTGACAATTTAGGCGCTTTCTACCCAGTAATAGGGTATGATACAAGGTGCAAGTTCAGGGCCAACCCCTTTGAAATCGAAGTGTTTTGAGTGTGGAAACATAATCTTGTGCTTTCATTACGGGTTAGGGAACCTGGCTGTACAGCTGAAGCAGCTGGGTTGCGCTGCTCCTCCCGACCGGGCATGTTGCTTTCCTTTCCTCTGCCCCACAGGAAGAGGGAGGGTCAGAGGGTGTGTTGCTCGCTTCCTTCCTCTCTTCCAGCCTTCTAGGGATGGCTCTCCTCACCGCCCCCTTCTTCTTTCTTCAAAGCCGAGGCAGAGTTGTGAGGCAGCCCTTGACAGAGCTTTTGTGGAAACGCGCATGGCTCGCTCGTCTTCCCGGCAGCTGGAGAAATAAATGTGCAAGAGGGGCAAGGAAGCGGGAGAGGAGCCCAGCTCTTCCGGTTTAAAAATTGAGCTGCCTGAGAGCTCAACGCATTTTTTTTTTTGAAACAGCTGAGGCTGGCCAAGGAAAAAGTGATCGGTTGCTTTCTTAGAAGCTCCCATGCACACCTCTCCCAGATCCCTGGAAAGCTTGCAGCATGCCCTTGGAGACTGCCAGATGGAAATTTAGAATATGAAAAAGGATAGCATGTCAATTACTCTGTGATATTCTGAAATAAAGGGGACTTAAAAGGATGTTGGACAATCCTAGTTATCACTCTTCTAGCTGTCTTGTTGTCATTGTGGACTAATCTTTAGTGAGGTAGGTATCGTCCAGATATGTAAATATCCTATTGGGAAGATTATCCAAATACAGTAATCATCTGTCTTTGGTACTGCAACAGAGAAAACTAATCTCTCATACTGTTCTGTCTTTTGCAATTCTGAAAATTTTAACAGTACTCACAGATACCTACATGCATTAAGCATGGAATATTTCTTTGTCACTGTGGATTTGTTTTTTGTAATGGGAAATCTTTCCGTTTTTTTCACTGCCCAGGAGGTTTCTCCATTAACCAAAAATACCAAAATAAACAATAAAACAGAATCTTTCCCTAGCCATTTGTTGAGCTCACATGTTAAAGAATGATGAACTGTATCAATATTTGCTTAGTCTCTAAGTCTACCCCTCTTGCAGCTCCTTTGAAGTTAAGAGAGGGATGCACACAGGAAGTATGAAAGGATTTTTGCTTTAGTTTAGGGTGCTTCCATTGTAATTTTCTGGAGAATTATTGCTGCATATGTAGAACAGAAAGTTAGTAAGGATATATCTTTAATTGGATCTGCTGCTTAAAACAAGATTACATATCTTGAGTTTTTGTGACAAGGCTGAAGAGCTCTGAAATACCGAAGCTTCTCTGTGTTCAAGTGTGTGTAGGATACTATATTTTCATGGGTAACATCTGGCTTATTTTGTCTCTACACATGCATAGAAATATGCATACACTCCCCTCTCTTTTTTGCCATTTATTCATTGATGTAGTAAGATTCTGACTGACCATGTTTTTCTTTGGAGACTACATGGAAACTCCCTGCTAAGAGGTAATACACCTTGGTATGCCACGCTAAGAGCTGGTCTCCTACTTTTAGCTTTGTGAAAGCATTCAATAAGCTAATGATGGAACCAGCTTGGTGAACAAGATTAGCCTGATCGAGCAAGACATATTGCATATTTGAAACAGCTTTCTCTTTCACGGACTGTAATCCATTTTTCACATACACAAAGCATAGCCTCAGTAACTTGTGTGTAGTTTCAGATGCACATCTGAAGTAATGGTCTATGAAAACCAAAATGCCAAATAAAGTTGTTCGTTTTTAGGACCTCATGGTGCTCCTTATCTGGCAAAATCCAAAGAAACAAAACAAAACAAAAATACAAAAACATGTGACACCTTATAGACTAACCTTATGACTAATGTGAGCTTTTGTGGACACATCCACTTCCTCAAACATATGGAAACAGAATGAAAAGTTGAATGAAATATCAGTTTCATACTAAATATTGATTGGCTCTTTGATGCATGTTACATTTACATACATTTACTCTTCCAGAACTACACAGTGCTCCTTGTTATTTTTGCTGCAAGAGACTAACATGGTTCCCTTATTTAGAATTACTAAAAAGCTTAAACAGATAACATGACAATGAGGAACATGAGGCATCAGTTGTACAGTAGCTTTGTTGTGATCCCTATTAAAATCCTAATAGCTGGGGCTGCAATCCTGTAGATTAGCCTTCTTGTATCCAGTGCTGTCCAGAAGCGTCAGACTTCAGTACAGTACTTGCTATCCCCAGCCAACATGGTGGGTGGGGATGATTGGATCTGTAGTCTAACATGTTTGATTGGCACCCAGTAGGGAGAGGCTGTGGTACATACTAAAGTGACTGTAATGTGGGAAATTATCTCATAAGCATGTGGGAAATTATCTCATAAGCATGTCTTTCTGAATGGATTTGTATAGAATTGCATTGTTCATTCAAGATGTTTTCTTATGTCCATTTCACATGCTGCGAATTTTATGGCGAAAATTACCCGAAGGACATTGCTTCATCTTCTGTTTTGCTGAATGCCTTTGCAAGCTAAGTTTGGTGAAATATTTGTGGCTTGCATAATTTGAAACAACAAATTGAGGAACAGAGTGTTTAGCTGACAACTTGGAATGTATCTCAACCTCACTTATCCTGGTGGCTTATGGGCCACCCAAAATGCCCAGATAATTCAGCAGCTCTTGTAACTTGGCTGTGTTGAGGTGGAGCTGCATGGCAGACAGCCTGTCAGCCATATACTGTACAGTGGTCAGTTTGCATAAGAAGGATCCTGCTATCCTGCTTTGAGCCATGTGGTGATTGCGTTATAACATATCAGAAGTGGGATGCATTCAGTAAATCACCATCTATCCTAAAGTCTTCTGAAACTGTAGCTGTCAACGAGGAAAAGGATGGGGAGAATTTACAGAGGTTTAATGTAATCCTCCGTTCTAAGCTCAAAGTTTCTTGAAATACTTTATGCGGAAAGTGTTTTTATTTGCAGGAAGGTGACTTCACAGAGCCATGTTAGGTACCAGTTTTTAAAAACTGAGATTACCATCTCTAGGTGCTGTTCAGCAGTCCTAATCAGTGAGCTTTCCTCACCTTTCATTTCATGTCATTAACCGCTGCTAATCTCAGATCAGAGGTGCTGTTAAACCTTAGTTCAGTTACTTATTTAGTTTTAGATTTTTAAAAATTTATATTTTAAGAACCTTTTCCTGGGTCATTGATACACCTGTGGGAATCTTAATTTACAAACTACTGCATGAAACCGGACCAGCTGCAGGTGCATTTCAGCAAGTGTTTGCTTTTGGTTCATTTTAGACCTGTTGCCTTTAAGCCAAAGACTTAATCTTTTCCTGCCAAGGACTATTTCCAGGGAGGTTTTATGCTATCATAAACTTCTGTGTGAACAGACTTCTATGTCTGTATAGAGCTTGTTTCAAATGCATGTATGTGTACTGTCTCTGTAGAACTCAATATGCAGGGGCACTAGACATGGGATTCAGAGCAGTAATATTCCCAAGCACATGTGAAATATTCATAAGAACAAGTCTGAGAAGCTTCGTTCTTAATAGACTTGATTTGAGGGATTATTTTAATCAGTGTTACCCCAAGTTTACAGGGATGGCAGATATCCTAGGCTTCTTTCAATCCTATTTTCTCCTTCTATTATTAATACAAGCTCAGGTGGTTTTCAATTTTCGGAGTAAGGTGAAATTAGAAGTATGGTTTCAGTAGCTGGGTCCAGGAAATGTAAGGGGCACCTCCATCTGGCAATCTTAAATTAACAATATGAATTAACCCAATCAGGCAAAATATCTACAGTTTTTTATGTTGAAGTGAATTTCACAGTCTTTACACACTTCCAGCTGCAGATTTTCATGTAGTGGCTCCACCTAATGGGATAATGATATCCACTTTTCTGGTAGATATAGCCAAGGATTCCTAGAGGCAACAAAGTGGATTTTTTATCCAGGATTAGATTGGGGTCTAATAATTGCCAGATAATTTTATTAGCTATAAGAGATGATAATAATAATAATGGGCTAAATCCAGTATTAATCCTGTGTGGAGCAGACCCAGCGAATGAATGAGATGTGTTAGTTATACGCAACTTTAGTTGCATTGGTTTCGTTGGACCTTTTCTAGGCAGGACTAACATTGGATTCTGCCTGATGATTTGTTGTTGTTGTTTGGTCGTTAAGTCATGTCTGACGTTTCATGACCCAGCGGACCAGAGCACGCCAGGCCCTCCTGGCTTCCACTGCCTCCCGGAGTTTGGTCAAATTCATGTGGGTAGCTTCGATGACACTGTTCATCCATCTCCTCCTCTGTCATCACCTTTTCCTCTTGCCTTCTCACTTTCCAAACATCAAGGTCTTTTCCAGGGAGTCTTCTCTTCTCATGAGACGGCCAAAATATTGAAGCCTTAGCTTCAGGATCTGTCCTTCCAGTGAGCACTCAGGGTTGATTTCCTCTAAAATGGATAGGTTTGTTCTCTTTGCAGTCCAGGGGACTCTCAAGAGTTTCCTCCAGCACCACAATTCAAAAGCATCAATTCTTCAGTGGTCAGTCTTCTTTATGGTCCAGCTCTTACTTCCATACATCGCTACAGGAAAACCCATAGCTTTGACTATGTGGACCTTTGTCGGCAATATGATGTCTCTGCTTTTTAAGATGCTGTCAACGTTTGTCACCGCTTTCCTCTCAAGAAGCAGGTGTCTTTTAATTTCATGACTGCTGTCACCATCTGCAGTGATCATGGAGCCAAGAAGGTAAAATCTGTCACCGCCTCCATATCTTCCCCTTCTGTTTGCCAGGAGGTGATGG